AAGAATCTGCCTTCCAGTGTAGGGGACAAGGGTTCGATCCCTGGTTGGGGAACTAAGATCGCACATGCCCGGGACAACTAACTACTGAGACTTCACGCTCTGGAGCCCCCGTGCCACAACTAGAGAGAAGCCCGCGCGCCGCAACAAAGATCCCGTGTGCTGCAACTAAGACCCAGCACAGCCAAATAAATAAATAAATACTAAAAAAAAAAAAAGAGAGAGAAAAGGTATCTTCTTGATTGAAACTAATTCTGATTAGATTATATATAGAGCCTTTAACAAAACATTCCAGAAATTACACTTCCAAATATGTGTTACTGCATTCAAAGTGTCATATTGGTAGGTTATACACCCATTTTAATGATGCTGCATGGCTCTAAACAATTTTATAAAGCCTCTTTTAGAAATTCCTTTAGAACCAGGTTATAACCAAACCAGAAAAACAGACTTATTGCTCTCTCTATAGTCATACTTTATAAATCCCAAAAGCTAAGGAACTATGTGTAACATTGTTGACTTTATGCAGGCTTTATGAGAACTTCCTTTTATGAGTTTGACCTTCCAAGGCATATAGTGAGGACACTTTGGTAAGAAAACTAGCAAATGTTGGGCAGGGGGGAACAACAGCTAAGTTGTCTGACTCTTTATCAAAGAATGAGGATATATTCTTTTGGCAAAGAGGGAGCCAACTTGGGAAATCCAGAGGCAGAAGAAATCCTTGGACATTCAGGAGGGAATTTTTTTTTTAGGGGAGCAGATAACCAATAAATCTTAGAAGACTGACAACAAATTTCTCACAGAAAAAAAAAAAGAAGAATGAAGTTATAGCCATCCGTTTTTAGAAGAAGTAGGAAGCATGGTGGGGAGAGTTCAAATTTCAGAACCAAGTCAAACTCGGACTCTCTAATTAGCAGTGCAGGTTTGCACAGATTGTCTCTGTGCCTTACCTTCCTCATCTGTAAATTGGAGACACATATGCCAGGGAGTTTTGTGAGGTTTTATTAATTGAGCCCTGATTTCCAACCCCTCCCTCAATTTCTTTCACCTCAATACCTTTTCTTCAGGTTGAAAAGCAGGAAACTCTGGGGGGAGCAGGGGTGAAGGGGCTACCCTACAGGAGCTTTCAGGCTTCCCTGGCTTCAGCTTTCTTAGCTCTGCAATTCCAGGCCACAGAGAAAAGAAAGCCTGGCGACTTTATCAGCCTCTCTGCAGAGAAGGCCAGCAGCCAGTACCTTTGGTTCAACAGACATTCCCAGAGCACCCTGTCATTTAAGGAAAGCAGCAGCCTATTTACGACCCTGAATCTTTGAAAGAAACTGAAACAACCTCAACGCCCAAGAGTAGGAAACTGGTTGAATTGTGAGACATAATACCCAAAGGCACAGTCACCTGATGGAATTTTAATCGAAGAAGAATATTAAATGACATGAGGAGATGTTCATAATGAATTAAGTAAATATTGCCATGAACCAGTATATATACTACGGATTCCTGTCTTTTTTTTTTTTTTTTCCCTTTCTCTTTCTTCCCTTTGCAGTACGCGGGCCTATCACTGTTGTGGCCTCTCCCATTGCGGAGCACAGGCTCCAGACGCGCAGGCTCAGAGGCCATGGCTCACAGGCCCAGCCGCTCCGCGGCATGTGGGATCCTCCCGGACCGGGGCACGAACCCGTGTGTCCCCTGCACCGGCAGGCGGACTCTCAACCACTGCGCCACCAGGGAAGCCCAGATTCCTGTCTTTTTAAAATAATTGATTTATAGGGAAAAAATAGAAGGAAATAAAAATTAACAATAAATTCTAAGTGGTAGGAATGTGGGTGTTTAAAACTTTTTCTTTTCTAAGCCTTATGCAATAGACATAATATTTTTAATATAAAGTATAATACATAAATTTGATATAGCATTTGAAAAACAACTCCACAAGGAGAAATTATGACAACTTCATTCACCCCATGATGCTCCACGTTGTACAGTAGGGAAATTTCATATAGTTCAGACTTCCCAATACCAGAGGCTCCCAGCCCCGCAGTGCATCTGTACTCTCTTTGGCATTCACATCTCGACAGTCACCTCTCTGGGTGGCAGCAAGATAACTAAGGAAATTCCTGTCCTGCAAACTCTGCAGGAGGCCAGGTCTCCATGTGAGTAGAGAGCAGGGAAAGGGGAGGAAAGCACAAGGCCTAGACTTTCTTGAGTTCTTAAAACAAGAGTACGTGTAAGTAGTTAAAACACTTTACATTTATCATTACTGTAGTTGTTAAGAATAACTACCATTTACTGAACACTTTCCTTGTGCCAGGTACATCCTGCATTATCTCATATAATTTTCACAATGGCCACTTAGATATTATCCCTATTTCACAGATAAAGACACAGGCTGAGGTCAGACAACGTGCCTAAGTTCCCAGTGCAAGGAAGTAGCAGACGTAAGGTGTTTCAGAGATTGCAAAACTATTTCAACATGGCCTCAGTTATTCTTTGCACTACTCTGTGAGATGAGCATTCTGTTTTAACTTGTAAGATGAAGGGACAGATGGCTTCAAAGTATATTCTAAGGTTTACATGGCTGATCCCAAAGGGCATTTCCAGTTTTTGGTTTCAGTAGAGGGGTCGTGTACTGAATAGGTCAATGGTGGGAGCCAAACACTTTGGGCCTGTTACACTAGATTACGGGGAGCAGATTTTAATCTGACGCTGAAAGACGGTAGCCTGTGGTGGGAGACTAGATACTAGCAGCAAACAACCAGTCATGACGATAAGATTGTCAAGGAGACAATCTGTAAAGGGGATATTGGATCAACTACTTTCTGGAGTTTGCTGGAGGGAAGGAGAGAGCCAAGGCAGAATAGCCTAGGTCTCTGGATGATGTTTTGATGCATGGTAGACCAGCTCAACCCCACCTGCAAAGGCCCTGTGTAAATAGCTGTGAAATTAAGGCCCAGTATGTAGGCTTTCATAAAATTCTATTTTATTCAGGTCCTGAATAAGACAATCTGCTGCTAATCCTTAAAGTACTATACGTGTTCATATTGACTTTTTGATACCCTCACATAACAGAAAGAAAGACAACATGGCTATAATACTTTACTGCATTTTCATTTCTTATTTGGATGAAAGTGGGACTACACAAAAAGTTGTTTGAAGTAGTGAACTGAGACCCTGAGTTATTTTCATCCTATCTATACAGTTTGCTACATCAGAAGTAAATTTTCATGTCTGGTCTCAATGGAAATAAATTTTCAAATTAGTAATCTTGATTTAAAAAAATATTGCTTTTGTGTGTGTGTGTTAGGGGGGAGCAAGAGGCAGCAGGAGAGGAAGCATTTTCCCCAGAATTATGAATTAGCAACCTTGGATCCTTGCCCAGGCTCTGCCCCCAACCAGCTAAGTAATTCTGAATAAACTTCTTAAATTTCAGATTCCTCACCTGTACAAGGAGATTCTAAAAGGCAGGTGATGTTTGATGTTGTTAATGTTCTATGTGACAAACCAGCATTCCACAGGTATACATAACAGTAAAACAAAATCCAGTGAGCCCTTAAGTCCAGATAAGTATCGCTAAATGCTATAAGACTGACACTTGTCTTTATCCTGTCTTTATCCTCCAGAGTATGGATGGTGGGCACTCTAAGTAGGAAGCTTTGATGTTACACTAGCAGAAAAGGTTTCCCCTCACTTTGTCCTCACCTGGTACAGAGAAAAGGAAGAGGAAGTGGGTAAGAGTATAGGATTTGGAAGCTGCATTCTTGGGAGTCAAGACCGGAAGCTGCCTCCTCCAGTTGCTCTGACCTGACCTCTAGTTAATCCCGTACAAGTTTAATTTGACTGTCCCTAGATGGTACCTATCACCTGCTGGGATCTGTCAGGCCTTGGATTTGTGCTCTGCCAGAAGTAAGGGTCTGTTCTTTGACATCCTAGGAAGAATTGTTATGCTCTAAGAAGGATAAAGGAGATACAGAACTAACTACCAATGCTTACATCTTAACGAATTCAATACATAACGTGTCAGAGGGTTAAAAATGTGGAAATTAGCTTTTCAAATTTATGTTTAATTATTCTGAGGCCCTGCTTGGCCATCACGTATCTACTGGACTTGTTATGAGGATGAAATAGGAAAACTCAAAAGAGGATACTAAACACTAGGTAGGACAGCTTTTAGAAATCAAGAAGCAGAATTTCCCATGTGGTCAGGCAAACAAACCAATCCTTATTATTTTCACACCCACCCAAAGGTTCTGACACGTTATGCTTCAAAGGCTTGTGTGGTAGTTCAATCCTACTTGAAGAAGCTTACAAGGCCCTGTGCCGAGCTTCGAGTATTTTCATAGATTTCTCTTGTTCAGTAACTGTGGCCCCCCAATTTATCATTCTCATATCACTCCATCCTCTCTTCGTCTGTCCTATAAGCTTTTAGTGCCTTCCATGTTCACTGTTCTTCCCCCAACCAAAATAATCTCAGGGGATTGCCTAAGGGGAAATCCCTATAAAAGTATCAACACTAGGAGAGAGTGCGGACGAGTTACTGCCCATAAACCGGGCACTTTAAAGGCTTTTGCTTTAATCACCGTTTAGGACTTAAAACCATGAGGAAAGCAGGAGCTTTCCTCCGCGAGGAGTGCCCACCTTCATCCGCCGGCTGCAGTTTCCCAAGAGTAAAGGAAGGCATCACCTCCTCACTTCCAAGATTCCGTCGACCATTCTCTACGTTGGCAGGTATTTCCTTCACGACGCCAAACACTTTCTAACACCTCGACCGCTTAAGAGCTCCTGAAGCTTTCCAATTGCCGTGGCGACGCTCCCGGCTTTGTTTTTCTACTTCCCTAGGCAGAAGCCCGCCCACTAGCGTCAAAGCTAGCTCCTCACTGGCCCGAAAGTGTGCTCGTCTCCTCAGCAAGCCATTCAGAGCCTTACTTTCTACGCCGGGGATTTGAAAAACGGAAAAGACCTCGACCTGTTCCTGGGAGTAGGGTGGGGCTGTGAATGAGTGACAGCTTGACCCTCCAATAGTCAGAGCCATAGGACCTGCCCCTTCTGGCTCCGGGGCTAGAAAAGAGAGTCGATGCCGGCAGCAGTGATGAGTCTTGGGAGGTACTGGCTGCTCGGCGGTTCCGAGGAGCGGCTGCTGCTGGTGGCCTTTTTGCAGGTGAGTGGTTTTAATATTGCTGTTGCGAACGTTTCCATTTCTCAATGATGTGGTGGTTTATTTTGGCGTGCGGGAGGGCCAGTTCCTTTCCTCCCCGGGTTCAGTCTTTGATGGGAGTCTGGCACTCGCACGTCCACCCCTCAAGCTCCGACCCTCACTTATCCCCCAGGTCCCGCTCAGCTGTCCCTTTGTCAGAATAAGCCTCTCTGGTCTGACAGCCGAAAGGAGGATTCCGCTTGGTAGAGGTACCTTGACGCCAAGAATAAACAGGAGTTGAAGGGAGTGATGAACTCAACTCCCCTGGACGTCTGAGGCACGGGGTGACAGAACCCCGTCAATAGTAGGGCTCCTACTGGAAGGGAGCTCCGTGTGTTTTCAGGGCTGTGCCACTATATTGAGGGTCATGGCAGACCTGGCCCAAAAAGTCTCAGTAGACAGAAAAAGCTTGAACGTCATGAAAGGAGAAAGGTGAATATCTGCAATGGTTTATGGAGGGTTCTAGTCTGGAGCTAAATCACAGGTTCTTCGAACCACTACAAATGAAAAAATTAGTGTATTTATTCTCCTTTCGAAGGGATGGGGGCCGTATTACTGGAGAAGGACAGTAGAAATGTGTAATGGAAGGTGGAGTTCACAGTTAACGTTTTAAGGATAATTGGTTATTAATTAACTTATTGTAACTCTCATTCCCCTACCACCTCCCTTCCAAATTATGGAGGCTTTATAGCTTGTGAGTGGTACCAGAATGTTAACTGACTGAATGCACACTTTTGGGAAAAAAAAATCAAATGCTATCTTTCACCAGTAGCTATTAGGGTTTTCTATAATGAAAGCAGAACACATGTGATTTTGTCTTTTATTTTAAAACTGTCTTCCCTGAGGCCAGGGGACTAGGTTTGATCCATCTTTGTGTTCCTGTAGCACCTCACACACCACAGATGCTACTCAATTGTGGTGGGGTTGAGAGAAGCATAATTCAAACAAATGGTGTCGTGGAAGGAGCTCTGAGTTGGCAGTCAAGACACCTGGGTTTTAGTCTTGAAGCTATTTGTGTGATCTTAAATCATTTCAGTTCTCTGGCTCTTAATTTTCACATCTTTAAAAAGTGGATGTCGCATTGGATTATTTCCAAGGTCCATGCCTGTGTTCAAAGTCTGTTTTAAACTAAAGATCCTTAGACGTTTTCCACCACAAGTACATCACCAAAATCTCATTGCAGTAAATTCCTAACCAGTCTGTTAGCAAATAAAAGTTCCCAGCTACAACAGTAATACCTGTTCTTTTGTGTCCATATTTAAACCAAACCAAGTGGATCATTGTAGAAAATTTGGCTGCTGTCCAGAATGAACATTGTACAGAAGTATAATGTGGCAGAAAATGTCATCCTTTATTCCATCACTCAGAGGCAACCACTGTTGGTGTCCGGGTAGATCTTTCAGTCTCTCTTCCTCTTTTGCCTCCTATGGTTGGTTGAAATTAAGTGGCACGTTTCATTTTAAGTAATGACATCTAAATTCAGCCATGCCCTCATCTTTGTGTGTCAGGTGCCTAGAGCACAGAGGACACGCCAGTGTCTGAACTCTTAGGTCACTTGAACATCCTTGGAATGAAATCTGGTGTGAAGGGATATTTATATGGGGAAATAGGACTAAAAGTATCACTTAATAACAAAACTCTTTAACTGAAACTTGGCCACAAATATGGATAAAATATAGTTTATAAAATGTAAAATAAATGTTAGCCACTTCACTAAAGCATTTGGATTGTAGAATATTGCTTAGTATTTGGTATGCTTCTAGGACTGTATCTTACTGGCAACGCCTCTTTCCTGAAACAACACTTGATTGCATTCCTACTTCCACTGTCTAATTTAACCTTTTCTCCTTACTGCCACCCTCATTTTGCTTTATTCTCAGCTTTTACTTCTGCTCATACCATCAGCAAGTCAGGATCACTCTCAAGGACCTGAGGTCTGTGTCAGTGTTCATGTGTTAGTCAAAGTCTGCTCCATTCAACCCAGAATACCTCACACTCTTTGGTAGAACACTTCACCATGCTCTCATCTAGTCTACTTCATAGCCCCTTGAGAATAGTAATTAGATAGGAAGGAGGTGTCATGAGTGGGTGTTGTGCACATCGGTGATACCACGCAGGCTGGAACAGGCCACATGCCCCAGGCGCACACATGTCATTTCACATGTGTGTCCCTTTCCTGTGAAGAGGGGTCTACCTGCTATGGTTTGTTACCTTTGTAACAAGTGGTTAATTGGCATAAAGTTGGAGAATGACAGGGTAATAGTGTCTGGAAAACCCCTGTAAGTAATAGTGTTTGCTCCTGGTAAAGAGTTGTTCTTATAATGCAAACACAAATGGAACAGTACCCATAAAGCTTTAGGAAAAGTAATAGATTATGGAACAATAGGTACTTTTGGATATACTCATGTTTGAACTTTTCGTAATGAGCTGGGCTTGGGGAAAGGCATATTTTAAGACCCTAAGGAACTGAGCTCCAGATTTCATTTCCACTGTTCCTTTTTAATCTATCAGAAACACGGTTAACCTCTCTTTTTCCTATCCTCACATTTAGCCAGCCTATCTTTATAGAGTTAGATCCCTAATGCAGTGGAGGTTAAGAGTTGTTCAAAGGTATGTAGTGAGGATTTGGACCAGGGAAAACATCCAAGTGGTCTAGGGTAGGATTTGAATATTTAATATTTAAGGGTAAGCTTTGGCTCAAAGCAACTCTGGCTCTGCATGCCTTATTTTATATTACTTCAACATTATATCATTGATCACATTTCTTACTCAATTTTGGAAACAGTAAAAAACTAAGTGTTTAGACTGGACTTTATCCTATAATTTCCCCCACCTGTTCATGAGTTACCATACTAGAGTATTAGACATTATTATTTTTCAAACACCTGAGGAAAGGAGGAAGCACTGTCCCAGGAGCATTGGTTTGGGAGAGAGGACGAGACTCAGTTATGGTGGGTGAGGGAGAGGTACGTGAAATTATATGGTTTAATGAGGAGCAGGTGTAGGAGGCAGCAGCAAGATTTTTAGCTACATTTGTTGATACTACCTAGAGATTCTGGAAGTAAATGCAATGGCCTGATGTGAACCAGTCTCCTACCTACCTACCCACCCTCTCCATCCCTACCTTGCCAAAAGGATGCTAATCTTGAAACATAACTTGATTTTATGGTGACATTTATGGAAAGGATATTTTTTACCCTGTCGCCAATTTAGGTGGGAAAAAATGCATATATGTATATATATTTCAAAAGGTCTTTGAAAATATGAGTCACCTGCAAATTGTGTTTTCTTCAAATTGCCTATTTGTTTCTTTTTTGCCAAGGCAATTCCATAGCACCCATTCCTGAGCAGGTATACATTCACCTGAAGTGTGAAGCATTTATAAAGATGTCTAATAACAGTAATGCATGTCAAAATGACAGATTATTTTTTGAAGCTGGTTAACAAGATGAATAATTTTTTCCCTCTTCTATCTTGAACCCATTATTAAATAATTCAATGAAGCAAAATAAACTACTCAGACTGATTTAAATGTGCTCAGTACTATCTTCTGTGAGGGATAAAAACAGTTATGAATGGGATTCCATTATTCAAGGCACTTGCAGTTCTGGCCAAGAATGAAAGCAGGTGATTTTATAATGTTGGGATTATCCCATGACAGGATGCTTAAAGGTTCAAAATGCTGATGTGATTAGTAGATCTGAATAATCCCAGCTAGGCCAGGGTTTGGCAAATTAAGGCCTTCTGACCCACTACCTGTTTTTGTACAGTCCACAAACTATTAATGGTTTTTAATGGTTGAAATAAATCAAAGTATAACAGTATTTCATGTGCATGAAAATTATATGAGATGCTAATTTCTTTGTCCATATGTAAAAGACAAAAAAGTTCCAATATGTTTATTGGAACACAGCCTTATTTGTTCATACATGCATTGTTTATGGCTGCTTTCAGCAGAATTGAGTAATTGTAACAGAGACCACATAGCCCACAAAGCCTAAAAAATTTACTCTTTGGCCTTTTACAGAAAACGTGGCCCCCACCTGAGCTAAGCTGGAGTGTCTTTCACATCATCTCCTTTACCCCTTTTCAAGAGCCATTATGCTTGTCCAGGTCTTCATTAAATGTTACCAGAATGGTTGCAAAAGCCTCACAAATATTCAAATCCCTGGTTTTCCCATCTTTCTTACTTGTAGGTTCTGCCTGATCCTCCTAAAATACACATTATTAACCCTTTAATGATGTCCCAATACTTACAGAAGAACCTGCGTTCTTTGGCACAAGGCCCTTTTTGGGGCCACTATTCAGTCTTATCTTTCTAGACTAGTCTCCTCCTACTTCCTTGTTATACCCTATACTTAGTTTAAGGTGGTCATATAATTTTCCAGATGGGACCTTCAAGTGTGAAAGGGGCCCTATAATAAGTATGTTGGGAAAACAGGCCTAAAGCAAGACTGTTCTAGGCAAACCAGTTTGAATGGCTCACCATTTCTCCATAAACACCTATTCCCTTGCCCTCTACTCACTGTTCCCTTAGGCTGGAATTCCTTTTCTTTTTTCTATAAATCTGAATCTTAAACCTCCTGGAATTCCTTTTCTTTTTTCTATAAATCTGATTCTTAAACATCTTTTCAAATTCAGCTTAAATAGTGCCATGTCCATGAAGCATTATTCAAGTAAAAAATCTCTCCTTGGGGCTTCCCTGGTGGCTCAGTGGTTGAGAGTCTGCCTGCTGATGCAGGGGACACAGGCTCATGCCCCGGTCCGGGAAGATCCCACATGCCGCGGAGCGGCTGAGCCTGCGCGTCCGGAGCCTGTGCTCCGCAATGGGAGAGGCCACAACAGTGAGAGGCCCGTGTACAGGAAAAAAAAAAAGTCTCTCCTTTTCCATCTCCCATATACATGAACTGCTTTCTCATGATGTGGGTTAATTTCTGCTTTAGTGATAAACACACGTATCCTTT